GGGTACACTTTTCTTAAAATCGACTCTTAAATCGGGACTATTCAACCTTCGCAAGCCCTAGGCTTAGGCTCTGATACCAAGTGTAGGTATACCAGCTGATATTGCCTTGGTGCCCAAGGTATAAACTGAAAAAAAAAAAAAAAAAAAAAAGAAGAACAAGGAATTACGTGGTGAACTTTATTGCTGGAAAAAGTTAACTTAAATATTCTAAACATTAACCTTATTTATACTATTAAAACTAGACTTCTACTCTAACACAAAAACTGCATAAATGGAATGTTTCCAAAAATACCCCTAGAACTAAAATTGTCCCAGATTTCCACTTAGGATAAACCGATTAATCCAACTAGGGATGCAAGTTTTACCCACGGATTCGGGTACCCGCGGATACCCGACTCAAACGTGGTGGGTGTTCCCCGTCTTGATGGGTAATTAGGCGGGGGCGGGGATTATTTTTCATACCCGAAGTAGGTACGGGTCGGGGATGGGTATGACACTATCCGCCCCATTTAATACCCGATTATATATATATATATATATATATATATATATATATATATATATATATATATATATATATATATTATATATATATACATATATTGGTATCTGAGTTTATACCAATCATGATATTTGATCTCTTACTCTCAACTAGAGTAATTTATTCTTATTAAATTGGTAAAAAGATTATTTTTCCTACAGTTTACCCTAATTAATTTGATATGTTATTAGTCAGTTTGATTGGTCTAGCAATTTGATTGGTTGTATGTATTACTCTGATGGCGAATCAGCAAAGAACTTGATAATGTGTCCTTATTATCAATGTGTGTTAGTTACAATACTTAATTTGATAATCTATATATTTCTTTTTTGGCTTTGTACAGAGGATCAAGATCACACTCATGGTTACAACCAACACAGTTGTTGCTAAAGATGCCTTTGCAACTGCTGAGGAAGAAGAAGGAAATTAAAGATGCAATAATTAATCTACAAAAAGTCAAAGGTAGAACCTTTATTTATAAATATACATATTTTTCTTTGATGGTCAAATAAGCTATATTCAACACAAATATGATGTAAGTTTATTCATTGATTCTTATATACAAATCTTCCTTCCATTTTCACCAAGAACTGCTTTATAAGGTAAATCATCTTCTTTCTAAATCTTTGATTATGGTTTGTTTAATCTATTAATAAATTTGAACTTGAATCCGTGTACTAATGAAACATGTTTGCTTGCTTTTAGTGATCAAGAAATAGCTACCCCTTTGGTCTTTTAAGATCAATTCGTGACATATAGTAAATAGAAATGAACTACTTTTTTTTTCTTTTATGAGTTGATTTTAACAGATGATAGACTATAGTGTGAAACCATGACTTGCAGCTAATGTTGATTTTTGCAGCTAAAAAATGGTTTATCTTAAAAGACACCGAAATTAGATGAGAGATTTCTTAGTTCCATATTACCCATATGTTAATTAGTTTTTTGAGATTTAGTTGTGATTACAAATTGTCATTCTCTTTATTTCTTTAGTTTTGTATATGGTTCTTGTTTTTTGAAAATAGTGGCTTGTGTAAGTTCTCATTCTAAAGTACGCGATAAATGAAGAGTATCGATCTCCACTTTCAAATATTTTTTGTCGAAAACCAATAAATCCATAAAAAAAAATTAAGAAGCATGTGGTACAACTCCAAAAACTATCACTTAAATTGGTTAAAAAAGGCATTCTATCATACCCACCAACCTCTATAATAATATATTTTTTACCACACATTTCCCTCAACGAAAAAACACATAGAGAGAAGGGGAGGGTGTAATGTTAAACCACCTCAAACTAAACTATTTTATGGAGTAGAATACATATTTTCCTTGTTATGTTTCTTATGGTATCTTTTTGTCATATCTACTTATTCGATGGTTTTTTTATATAAGAATTGTCTTTTCTAAAGAAAAATTAAACTGTTTTAAAATTTTTATTTTATTCAAAAGTGTGTGAATCTTAGTTTTCGGATAAATCTACATGATTGTAACAATTGAACAATTCAAAATTTGGTTTTAATCTTTCTTTTATTCATTTTACATATATTCGGTAGTCATATCATTTTTGGATGATCATCTCTGTTTGGTCAAAATATGATTTATACTTTACTTTTCTGGGCAATTGTATTTTTCTGTAATATTTATGAGTTTATGGCCATGTTTATGGTTGAGTTTACGGCCGTAAACACCTTACGTCCGTAAACTCATTTACGACCCATGTGTTATTCGGCCCATGTTCCCTTAGTATAAATATATGTATCAGGGTGTGAGGAATAGATTGATGAACACGAGAGAGAGAAACGTGTGTGTGAATCTTTTGTATCCGGATCTTAATTCTAATCAATTTATACAAAGATTCATATTGTTCTTCTTCTCCTTCTCTTCTATTTGATCTGACATCATCCGTTTGATTGGGATTCCGCACCATTAAACAGATTTGACTGATACACAGGCAAATTAGGGACTTACAATCTCTGAGTTCTTTTCTCCTTTCCTATGAGATAATTTGTTTTGTTTCATTTTAACATGTTTAGAAAAGGGTGTAACCTACCATGACTATAACCATTTCCAGATCAGGGGCATTATAGGAATAATCTGTGACAGTCTTGAAAAGGGTAAAATGACTATGCATCTGTGACAGCCCTGCCCCAAAGAATTTTTCATGTTTGTTTTTTTATATCTATTTTTACCCCTGCTTAAACAGAAAAGTAAATGACAGTTATGTTTAATTCCAATCCAAACAGAAAAGTAAAATGCTTAAACTGGAAAACAAAGCTGGGGAAATACAGATAAGTATTGAAACCAAAAAAAAAAAAAAAAAAATTGAAACCAGCAAAACTAAACTCCATAAAGAGATAATATGTTACCAAAAAGGTAAAATCATCAAACTGATTTATACCCTAATATAAAATGATATCACAACTATAAGAGAGAACCTAGAACAATCCATATACTCACACAATTTATAACAGTTAGAATGTGCTAAGTTTTCAAAATATATTGCTTAAATATTGCTTCAAAATTACAAAAGTACATAAACCAAACGTCACCTTAATACATAATTAGTTATTTTACATTAACTTAAATTGCCCTATGACATAATTATAACCCAAATGAAGATGCAAAACAGAACAATACCAAACATCATCACCCTAAGTCCCTAACCATGAATATATCAGTCATTTTTTTGTTAATCATCTTAAGGTTCATTAATTTCTTTTGTATATACATGTTCTCCTTCTCCACTTCCATGTTCTTTTTGGAAAGAATCATATTATCCTTGAACAAATCCATATTCTCCATATGTAAGTCATTAACTTTACTCTTATACCAGTGAAGACCCAAATCTTCATCCACACATACAAAAAATTTACAATCTTTTGAAGCATTCTACAAAAAATGAAACATTAGAGAAACAATATCAATTTCATATACCAGTAAATTAGAGCATCGAATGAAATGTCGGTCTGGATTCTTCCTGGTCGTTGAAGTCGTGATCTTTTGTTGTTCACCACGTTAACACAAAACGTTTTTGTAGCTTCAAGTTGAGGAAGAAGAAGAAGATCCATATGATCAATCGTTTATTTTCTGCAAGGCGGATTTAAAAAAGAAGAAGATGAACACGAACGGTTGTAATTTTTGAAACAACATAATAAGATACACTTTTTAACTAATTTTATTTGCTCGGATGTCATCTATTTAGATGCCACGACATTTATGTCACCAGTTCTTTAATACTTACCGGTTATAGATCATTAAAACAATAAACGTGAGAAATAATAATTGTTAAAATGTACAATAATAATAATAATAATAATAATAATAATAATAATAATAATAACTAGAAAGGTTACCCCGCTGCATGGGGGTCAAAAACTTTCAATTTTGTTTTCGAAGTGATAAATATGACAGACGTAGAAAGTGCAAGGATGAAAAGCCCAAGCTTTACCCCAGTCCGTTTTTTTCATTTTTTTATGAAAAAATGTAAAAGTTTTGACTGTAAGGATCAGAAGTGTGAAAACGGTTAAAGAATTAAAGGGGGTAGTAATTAACAAATTTTTAGAAAAAGAATCAAAGTTATCAAACCTTTAATGTTTTGTAGCAAAACTTTAAATATTAAAAGGTTCAGTGTAAAAATATTGATTGCAATGACCAAAAGTATTAAAATAGATAAAGAATAAAGAGCGAAGTGTAGGGATCAATTCTGCCAAAAAAATGATAAGTTTACTATTTATTTTCTTCAAAACTTTAATATATATATATATATATATATATATATATATATATATATATATAAGGGTGTTTTTTTGAAGTATTAGAATATAATACGGTTTTTGTGTGGTTTTCAAAAAAGAAACACGGAAGATCACTCCAGCCGTTCTCCTTCTTCGTTCTCAGTTCTCTCTCGTCGATCGCCGACTCCAGCCGCTCGTCGGTCGCCGCTGCTGCTGCCCGGTACTCGTTCTTTGCTGCCATCGTCTTCAACATCGACAGGTTAGGTTTTTTTTTCCTTCTGATTTCTTATTTTAGTACCGATTTTATGCTCTGTAGTACCAAATTTCTGCTTTGAGTACCAATATTGTTGCTGAGATGTGAAGAATCTTTGCTAAAATCTTTGTTGAATGTTGATTTATGATATAATTGTTTTTATAACAAATTTTCTGCTCAAATTTATGTTTTGGTTTATGAATTTTTGTGCTGAATTGGTATGAATGTTTGGTAAAATCATAAATCTTTGCTGAAATCATATATTTGTATGCTGAAATCATAAAGTTATATGCAAGTTTATATGCTGAAATCATAAATCTTTGCCGAATATGTTAAAGCCTTTGCTGAAATGAGTTAAAATCATAGTTTTTTTTTTTTTTTTTTGATCTTTACCTCTGCGATTAATATTCATGGCATTGGCTTTGAGTTCGACCTAATTCTCTGCTTTAACTCGAAATAGACAATGTCTGGTCGTTTGCTACTGTATAGAAACATCGATTAAGAACAAAAATCAAGAAGATTTCCAATTTCAGAAGACCACCAAGACTTGAACTATTTTCTGTGTAAGTTGTTGTCTTCTTACTGATCAAGTGTTTGTTATTTCTTTGATCGTTATTTCACTTCTTTCTAAGGTCAGAAAACAACGATTTTTCATTTGTTTCTTTTATCATTATTTAAAGTTTCTAAGTCGATTGATTTATTGTAGTTTGTGACCAATGTACAGGTGTATTTATCTGACCAATGTACAGTTGTTGATGATGCATATGTATGTTGTTGTGTAACCAATATGTGCATATGTATGTGTTTATGAGTAATGACTTTATGTGCTTCTTAGTTTGTTTAAAGGTTGTGATTGAGCTTCTAACATTTTGGTTGATTCAGATGCTTATTCTCCTGCGACATAGTACATACCATCAAAATAGGTGATTTCTACAATCACAGAATATGAAAACATTTAGCATTTAATAAATTCTTGTTAACATGATTTTCTCTTTCTTTTTCTTTTAGTAAAAAGGATTAATTCGGTTTGCAATTGCATCTCCAGATGAAGAAACTTCATCAGTCAAAACAAAGAAGGAATTTACAGCATATTCGGTGAGGTATACATAACAAGGGTAAAATTGTCTTTTTTTTTTTTTTTGGTAATAATTTCATTTAGTTGTTTTGTTTCATGTTCAGGGTATTAGTTGCATATGTTTTTGTTATTTGTTGTGTTGCTGGATTTGCAGATTATAATGGTATTAAGTTAAAGTTTTGGTAAAATAGTTGTAATAAACCAATTTTCTTTTTGTTTACCTTGAAGATTTGAAGCCAAATGCTATCTTGAAACCTTGGGCTAAAGTATTTTAAAATAGTTTTTAAGTAAAATGCAGACGTCCCAAAACATCAAAATCTTTCAACAAGCAAAGTATCATAACATTACTATTTCAAAGATTGATTGCATAAACAATCTCAATGAACATTTACAATATACTTTCCTAAAGAAATTATTCGACCCTTGAGGGATAGTTTAACACAAATCATCTAACATACCAATTCACTAACGAATAAAAACATCACATGTAACAAATCAAGATTCAAGGCTAATCAAGATACATTTAGATAGATGTTACTTACAAGATGTGGCATTTGAAAATTTTCGACTTGTTTATGATCAAAACATCTATGTAATCAACTAATGATAACTTAAATCTAAAAACAGAAGAAAAACTTGCCTTCCCATTGAAGGTGGAAATTGCAGATGATCTTCCTTCAGGGGTTTCAAAAACAACCCTTGTTGATACAGGGTTTAATTCAACAAAAAACTCTATAAGATGATTAGCTCTTACTCTCCATGCAACTTGTAATGTTTATCTCCAGGAGGTGATGATGATGATGATTTCTTGTTTTCTTTTGCAAATTCTACCCATTAATTCCTAAACATTCGAATTGCCATAATAGAATTGATTATTGAGATCAATTTTGATAGAAATTAAGTGGAAAAAAGACAAGGTTACATACATAAGAATCATATTTTTGGATTGCAGAAAGTGCTTCATCTGTAGATGACATTGTAACAAATGCATACCTTCTGCTTTTCCCATCTTTCTTCCTCATTATTATCTGTCACCATTAAAACAATTGAGATTGCTAGGAAACCCTAAAAGTTCTTCCTTTTAGCTTCAATTTTTGCAAATTTCTAAACAAACCATATCTAGAGGTTTAAAGGTCTAAGAATCAAGTCTAATAAAGTTCTAAACCATTTGAATGGAAAACCTTCCGCTCAATCTTAGACATTAAAACTCCCATTTTTTTTTCGATCTCCACCCTAATAACTCAAAATTGGAGGTTACAACCATTTTCAGCTACTTCCCTCACCTTCCTCACCGTTCTAATTAGCTATTTATAGTTACTTAGGGCAGTTCCATCAATCAATTTCTCCCACACGGTCGACAACTCTCCTCCTTCTCCCACGTTGCTTCCATGGTTGGATCGCGGGTTCGAGCCTCATATGCTGGGCATACGAGGGTTATGCTGGAAGTACGAGGGGTTTAATGAAACCCTAATTTTAGGGTGTTGCACCCTATATAATCATATTAAATCCCAAGAGTTGGCCTCTTTATCAGCCTCCATTGTCCTAAAACCCTAATCTCGAACCCTAATAGCATCTTTGAGTGTTCTTGACTTTTTGGGTGTATCTTTGGTTAGTTGGTGCCTTTAGTAGAAGAAGGAGTTGGTGAAGAAACTTTGTTGGAGCTTGAGCTTGTGGATCTAAAGACTAGGCACCTTCCTCAGTTGCAAGAAGGTATAAAGCCTCAACCTTGATCCCTGTATGCTTAGATCTCTTCATGTTATGGTTTTATGTTTTTTTTTTATTTGTGTGTATCGGTATCTATAGGTGAGTACCTAATATTTTCTATGTTTCAAACTCTTGATTTTAGTCCTATATCTTTAATTTTGACTTTCTTTTTTTCTTTTTATGCAGTTTCAACATTTGGAATCAGATTTCCTGCTTTGAGACCACCACTCTGCACCAACCCCTTTATATGTAATAGAGTAAATTACACGAATGGTCCCTATTGTGTGGGGTAATTTGCGTGTTTGGTCCCTAACTTATTTTTTTAACTCGGAAGGTTCTTATGGTTTGTTTTTGTTACGTGTTTGGTCCCTACTGTTTATTTTTATTACGTGTTTGGTCCCTGTCTTATCTAAAAAGACTATTATTTAAAGAGGAAAAAATTATGAAGTAGGTGAGGTAAGGTGAGAGGGTGAGATTAGGGGTGTGTTTATTTAAATAAATTAAAGAAATCAAGGGCATAATAGTCTTTTTAGGTAAGATAGGGACCAAGCGCGTAACAAAAACAAACAGTAGGGACCTTTCGAGTTAAAAAAATAAGTTAGGGACCAAGCACGCAAATTACCCTAAGCCATAGGGACCATTCGTGTAATTTACTCTATGTAATATTATGACCTTGCATATATGTAGTTTTGTACATCAAATTTTATTTTCATTCAAAATTTTGAATTGGCATACATGTTTTTAGATTTTATCTCTACAATTCTTAATTTCCTAAACCCAATTGAATTCTTATCAGTTGAGGGGTTGTTTGGATTTGCTTTTAAAGTTAAATATGTGATTAGGAAAATCCAATTTTTATGTGAATTAAATTAATCGATTGAAGCTTTTTCAGTAGCTAAAATTCCGGTTCTAATAAGTTGAAGTGCATACAAGTTTTTGAACTTATGTATGATAAAAACATGAATGACATTAAAATCAAATATAAGTATAATAATTGCTTCTATTTGTACTTGGTCCCATAAGTTTATAACTATATATATATATATATATATATATATATATATATATATATATATATATATATATATATATATATATATATAAACGACATTTATTAGAAAAAAAAAAAAAACAAACAAAAAGCTAACAAGGAGCTAGCAAAAACCAATTACAAGTTCATAGGAAATTGAAGCCAAACATTCCAATCTCTAGACATTTTACGGCTCCTAACACAATATCAATTAAAGGAATACAATTTAATGGTATCAAAAAGAGTATCTTTTCGATACTTTTTAGTGCGAAAGACCATCGCATTTCTATAACCCCATAAGACCCATAACATAATCATAACAATTGCAAGAGTCTTTTCTTTCTGCATCCCTTGCATTGATAAAGCATCCAACCAATCATAAACCTCTTGTAGCGAACTAAACGAAGGCATATGTAAGTCTATCCACCCCGCAATTCGACTCGATAGTTATTTCGCTAACTCACATTTAAAAAACACATGATTTGAATACTCCAAGTCTTTATTGCATATAAGACATGTAGTAGAGGGAATATCAACCCCTCTAATCTCCAAATTAACCCGAGTAGGTAACCTATCCAAAGCAATCCTCCAAATGAAAACATTCACTTTAATTGGCACAAACTTATTCCATCTATACAACACATGACCCATGGGAAGCAAAACATCATCTAAATGATTACGAAGACATCCAACAGTAAAATAATCCAGGTTACCTAACTCCCATCTCCAAGCATCCCTGTTATTCGAACATTTTACTTGTTGTAACTCCTCCAACAACATTTTTAGTTGTTTCACCTCAATTCCTCCCCTAACGTCCCTGCGCCATTGTAAGACCTAGTTTTCACCATTCCAGTAGTCTCTCACCACCCCTTCTTTAGCCAACGAGAGCGCATAAAGTCTATCATATTTGATTTTAAGACTTAAACCATCCCTCCATTTATCCTACCAGAATCGAATATCCATACCATTACCAAGTTGTCTTCTCATCCAAGAATTACTAACATTACCAATACTATGAATTTTGAAAATAGCATCAGTAATGTTCCTCCAAACTCCCATGCCACGCACCTGACTATCAACTCCAAAAGTCTGAAATTGATGACAATGACAAGCTTTTATAATGCTAACTCATAAAGTGACAGGATTAGTGCAAAATATCCATCTCCATTTATACAAAAGGGCATTGTTAAGGGCTGCTAAAGAACCCACTCCCAAACCACCATTATCCTTTTAATTTAGAATTAAATCCCATTTCACCCAACTTATCTTCTTCTCATCGGAATCCACCCCCAAAATTTTTTTGCTCTGATTTGTTCCAACATTTTGACAATCTAAACTAGCATTTTAAACAAAGACATGTAATATATACCCAAACTACCTGACACATACTTTAATAACGTTAACCGCCCACTAATTGAAAGTAATCAAAGCTTCCATCTAGACAACCTTTTCATGATTCGATCCGCAATTACCCTCCAACCAGCAACTCGATTCATATTCTTACCAATAGGTAACCCTAAGTAAACAAAAGGTAAGGAAGTCGAACTACAACATGTCAAATTCGATAAAGCCTCACAAGTTTGGCTCTCAACACCTACCCCCACCAAATTCGACTTAGAAAGATTTAATTGTAAACCTGACATCATATAAAAGCACTTTATAACACAAAACAAATTAGTAATATTTTCAGCATCCCAATCTCCCATAAATAAAACATCATCAACATAAAATAAATGTGACACTTGCATCCCAAGATTACCCAATTTAGTAGCTCTAAACAACCCATTCACCACCACATCTTCCAAAATGACATGCAACCCCTCCATGGCAATGATGAAAAGAAACAGGGATAGAGGATCACCTTGTCTAAGCCCTCTTTCCTAATTGAACTCTTGTGTGACCGAACTGTTAATTAAAACAGAAGATCTCGCCGACACCAAACAAGCCGGTATCCAACTATGCCATTTATCTGGAAAAATCAAAAAATACATCACTCGATCAAGGTACTCCCAACTAAGAGAATCAAACGCTTTTTCGAAATCCACTTTAAAAATCATTAACTTCTGCTTTTTCCTCTTTTACCAATTGACAATTTCACTTACCATTAAAGGTCTGTCAAAGATTTAACTTCCTTTAATAAAAGCGGATTGTTCCGGACTAACAATACCATCCACTACCTTTGCTAGCCTATTAGCTAGTAATTTGGCAATAATTTTATACTGAACTCCAATAAGACTAATTAGACGATAATCCTTTACTAAAAGCGGATTATCGACCTTTAGAATTAGAGTTATAAAAGCTGAATTGCATCCTACAGGAATGAACCCATTATCAAAAAACTCCTGAACAAATCCAAACACATCGAATTTAAGAATTTCCCAATACTTTTTAATAAACCTGAAAGAAAATCCATCGGGTCTTGGAGCACGATCACTGCCAAAGAACCAAACCGCCTCCCGAATCTCCATCTCCTTGACTTGACTTTGAATGAAATCATCCTCAACATTACTCAACGTATTGTATCTATGACTTCTCTATATAATCAGAATAACACCAAAAAACTTAAACTTGGTAGCATAGAAATAGAAGAAAATATTTTTAACACTTGATGGTTCATCGATCCATTCCCCATTTGACAACACCCCTCGAATTTGCATATGTTTACACCTTCTTTTTAACATCCCATGGGAAATTTTTGAGTTTTCATCTCCTTCAATTCCCCATTTAATCTTCACCTTTTGAACATAGTCAAGACCTTCCACAGCCTCTATGTCGGACATCTTTTTTAGCACCTCCCGTCTTTCAATAAGCAAATCATCATTAACCAACCCATTATCAATCATATTGTCAAGACTCTCTAAAGTAGTGACAAACCCACCTTTATCTCCAAGCATTCTTCCTTAACACCCTTCTGCCAAATCCTAAATTTGATCCTTTAGGTTCTTTAATTTATTTTTAAAGTAGATAAACTTACTACCCCCATATAAACACTATAATCATCCCAAACTTTATTCACCAGCCCATCGAAGTGAGGATCTTCCAACCAAGAATTAAAAAACTTAAAAGTAGTGGGCCCATAATCAAATATCATCTGATTAAGAAAAATTAGGCTATGATCGGAATATTTTCTCTCCAACGTGGCAGAAGTAATCATAGGAAGACGCTCCAACACTTCTTCTGATATAAGAAAACGATCGAGTTTCACCATTTTTGACTCATCACTACTTCCTCTAGAAAACCGACGCCCAATAACCGGTACATTGACTAGACCCACTTCAAAAATAAAATCATTGAAATCATTTGCCGAATATCTACAAAAATTAGACCCCAATCTTTCTTGTGTATCTCTAACCACATTAAAATCACCAAAAACTACACACGACTCATTATCTGTATTAATGTATTGTGAAAGATAATCCCAAACTCACTTCTTCTCACTCACAGATTATGTCGCACACACATTAATCTAAGGACTTCTTGATTGAATACCATCTAAGGAACAAGATTTTCTTACATGAAAGGTATTCTATTTCACTACTCCAATGGAATGACTATTGGTGTCAAATCCAGAAGGTATACCAACCGAAGAAGACATCTGTTGTGAAACCTTAGCATTATGAGTGACTGTTCTCACGTCATCCAACTCATCAACCGCCTTAGCCATCTCCACCTTCTCCATTACAACCGCCACCAGTTCCTTATCACCAATAGTGTCCGCTTCCTCCACCGGCTCCTCCATCACCACCGGTGATACCATAGATTTATGATGTCGTCTCTCTGTGAACCCACAAAACAAAGACTCGTTTTGCATGTCTGCATCTCCTTTCTCATAGAACTCACCATCCTCAGATCCTACATCAATTTCTTTCCTATATATATATGTATGATGTAAGTTTGAATGAAACAAAATAGTGAAATTATAGTAAAGTTGATGAATAGCTTGTAAAATTTGTTGCCAATTGGCGAGGATTAAAGATTTTATGTAATAAGTTACAATCTTGGTATCTCAGTATAGTTATAGATTATATGGTATTAAGTATACCTTTTTATATATTTGTATTAATGTTGTGAGAAAATCAGGAGAGTATTTTAAGTGTTATTGCGGTGATTATATGAAGTTTTGTTTTTTTTTTTTTTATTGTGTCTTTATTAGGTTGGGTAGTGGTGCTGGATATAAGATGTGTGTGTGGGCAAAAGTTGTGGGAATTTCGTTTCAAGTTACAGATCATTTCAATAGTTTTAACAAACCTTCAGTTGACTCTATTAAGGTTTACTTTCCCTCTTTATTTATCATTGATTCTTTTTTTCATTATATTGCTGAATTTTTAATTAAATCATGCATTCTTGGAGTTGATAAGCTTTGAAAGAATAGATGTATCTTCTTTCTCTCCCGACCTCTCTCATTCCAATATTATTACTTTGACATATTACTTTGTTCGACCTTACAGTTTTTTATATTCCCTCAGGACTCTTAAGACATGGAATCTAGTTATGGAATCAACTGGTGGTGAACCTACTGTAAAACAACTTCTAGAAATGGACTAAGTCTCAAACTTCTTTAAAAGACCACCAATTCATGCATGGAATGATTATACTTATCAAGATCCAATTTTTACGACTAAATGACCTCAACAAAGACCAAATATGAGGCTCAAAGGTTTCGGAGAAACTTCTACTCACAAGAACCACAACCATGGGACCAAAACATGACAAATCATAACCCCAAACTAGATCTATATGAGAAAGCGATCAACATTAAAACTTTATATCTCCGGAAGCTAGATCAAGATGAACAAGGCCTGGGCCACTTTTAGAATTGGGCTCTTGTTGGGCCATTAGTATTGTTGAGATGAGCCATTGTTAGGCCTTGGGCCCTTATGGAATTGGGCCTATATTAGGCTTTGAGTGTTTTTTTGGATTTGGGCCATCATTGGGCTGTAAGTGTCATTGAGTTTGGGCCACGTTTAATTGGGCCAATTAAGGTGAAGGGTAAAATGATCATTTACCCTAGGAGTTGGGGTTAGTAAATTAAAGTCCCGAATATGGGTTATAACTTAATTATTGATTTTGGTTGTATTTGATTGGTTAGCGCGGGGATTCTCCAGTCGAGTAGGCCAAGCATTTGTTGGATTTTCAACGGACTGAGGTGAATTTGCTCACTATACTATAAGATATTAGGGATTGTATGTGTTTGTAGTCTTTGTGACTTCTGTTGTTTGTATTGTATGTCTGTGCCTGTTTGCTATATGTATGTGGGGTGAAATAGACCCGATATAGCCTTGTGATGACATATGAGTTGAAATAGATTCGGGGGTGAAATAGACCCTAGGGTGAAATAGACCCAGTACAACCTTGTGTTGACATATGAGTTGAAATAGACTCGAGGGTTATCTAGGCCCAGGGTGAAATAGACCCGATACAACCTTGAACTGATGTATTTGTATGGTATGCACTATTTTGGGGAACTCACTAAGCTTTGTGCTTACGGTTTATGTTTATGGTTTCAGGTATTTCTGGTCCGAAATGGAAGAGTCCGACGTGATTGCAGTACATCCACCAATGTTCCCGCAACTGTATGATTTTGGGATTGTACTCTGATAACTATTTTTACTATGACATACTTTTGAATGATTGAAAAGGATAAATGGTGTTTATGGTTGAATCAAAAATGAAAATTTTACCTTATAAAATTTGGGACGTTACACTTTTATTTTGGCTCTAAGTGTAAAATCATAAACTTTTCCATGGAATTTAAAGAAATAAGAAAGGAAAAGAAGGTGTAATGGTTATGTGGTTAAAATATTTCAATTAATCAATCCCTTATATTAGGTTTGACAATTGTGTCGTGTTTGGGTTGGCTTGTTGTACGTTGACGGGTCAAAATACACCAACCCAAACACGACCCATTTAACTGTACATGTTGCGGGTTGATGGGTTTGAAACACAAGCTTCGTATACGACCTATCAACCATTTAGTTATACAGGTTGGCGGGTTAGATTCGGGTACGTGGGTTAGATTCAAGTCATGAGTTCGTGGGTTAGATTCGGGTTCTGGGTTCAACCCGAATGTTATTTATTAAAACTTTAAAAGAGAATTATTTATATCTACATAAAAGCTTAAAAATTGAGGAACACTACTTTTTTTTTTTTTTTTTTCTCTTTCATAAATTCACACTTTTGTTTTTCTTATGTTGGACACCGATGATAAGCCTTTAAGCCCCTTCCAATCGTTCCTTTTTCTTTCTTGCAAAATAATCCACCGACTGTATCCTTTTCTTTCTTCCAGACGAGAAAGATGATAGACCTTTATCCGCTTCCTTTTCTCACATCTTCCCCACACCGTCTCTCTCCCTCGGTGACTGACGTTGGAGCTGTTGCTGGTGATTGACGAATGGTAAAGGAGCAGCAGTCGACCATTCCCGGAGGTGTTTCGTTGGCGTTGAAGGCGACCGGTGTTGGCGAAGGCAGTCCATCGAAGTGCTTGCCGGACAGAGAGTAGTGATGGCTTTCGGTTCTTCTGCTGGCGTACTTTTGCCAGCGAGAGTTAATATGGGGTTCTTATATTAACCCTTGGTCCTTAAATCAACTTCATCATCTCCTGCTTATTTAAAAAATCAAAATACATGTATATTTGATTTTCCTTAATTACTCTTTGCAAGTATTAGATGATTTTTCTGGTAGAACTGACGTCATTTCATCCGGGATAGCTAAAAGTCGCTTCTTAGCAGCTGCCTACTTTGCCACCTCAATGGGATGAGTCAGCCTCTCTTGCCTTCAGACGCAACTTAAATCCATATGATTTTAGTTTGGCTCTACACAACTGACGTCGTGGTCTAGGACAACTCACTCATTCTTTATGGTAACGTTGTTGCTCTTAATTGACTTATCTCCGTGATACCCCAAAACATGATTTAGTTTACACCAAACCACCTACTGTTGAATTTTGAAAGCAATTTTCATGACACACATCAACTGTTCAACGAAATGTTTGAACCAGGTTTCTGGATTTTCTTTCCAAAGTAGTTTTTCACGTTTATTGTAGACTAACTGACTATGAATTTTTTTTCCATTAACAATCATATTGTTTGCTTGAATAGTAATTCATTCTAAAATTTGCAAAATGGTGTCACTGAGACCTTATTTAAAATGATCGACATCACATCAGGATTAGTTGAAAGCGGCTTCCTCTAAATAGGAAATTTTGTTAGCTATCGACAAGTATGGTCAATATATTTCATAATATTCTACGTAACATTAAAGCTTTTTGGAAAAATATTACCATTTGATTAATACTCTTTTAGTCTTTTATCACCAAGTGGTGTTGACCTACTGTCATCAGAGGTAATCATATATTTCCTCACTTTTTGATGAAAAATTCTCTTTATAGACCTCAAAATGTTTTTCTTTTCACCAATATAACCTTTTTTTTTTTTGAAAAAAAAATTAATTATCATATGAGTGTGACATAGACTAGTAGATATGGAATAAAAGAAGCCAGACCATTTGTTGAATGGGGTAAAATAGGTGGAAAGTGGAAACTCTCATCTACTACAACTCTCACATTTACTGTCACAACATGTTTGGTATGTGAGCACTTATTTCTTTTTTAATCTTTTTTAAATAATCATGTATTATGTTATATGTAGAAAATAATGTGAAAAAATAAACCAAGAATCACAATCTTTTTGCAGGAGCTTCAGCAAGAACAAAAATGCTAAATTTAACAAAGCTTTAATCGTTAAAGATACACCTACAAATTGAGTCATAAATTATCTAATGCTACAATCATTTGGAGCAAGGTGTACACATTTAAATCCTCTTCTTATCCTCGTCAGAACTCTCTACAACGTGTCATCATTTTTGGTGATATGGAAAAGATTTGTACTTTTCTCTAATTAAGTGATTGTTTCTTCAAATTTAACCATTCAACGGTAAATTCAGTAATTTTTTTTCAATATGTTACATCACAATACCATTATGCTACTTTAAAGTGAAATAAAAAATCATCACCTCTGTTTCTATGTTTTCTCCTTCCAGGGAAGATATGAGTGCATTTGTAGTCGTCACCTTTTCCATATAAGACACCATGATACATGCATAAGTACAACATCTTTTTGGTATAATGGAATGAAGGAAGGAATGGAATTGCTCATTCTGTTGCCAGCTGGAATGGAATGAACCATTCCGTTCTGCATATTTGCTTAAAATTTCATTGTTTACTGACTAAATATTTTTCTATTTCTTTTTTCATTGTATTTTTGTTTCCAAACATTATTCAAACCAGCGCCAACGGTGCAACCGAAGTCTTCTAGTTCATATCAATATCTAAAGTTTGACGTGCGACATTACTCTTTGAAAATGACATACACATTCTAGCACTCGATTTTTCTTTACAAAAACGCTTCGATTTATAATTTGATTTTAAATAACTTACGATACAAAAATGAAAATTCAACTTCAATAAAATTAGAACCAAAGGTCTTCTAGCCCAACGGTACCGGTATTACCCTCCCTCTTAAAAGTTGAAGATTCAAATCTTATTGGAGACATAAGTAGAATTAGTAGAATTAGTAGAGTAGATTTAATGTTCTAAAAAAACAAAGTTAGAAACTAAGAAGATACAATAATTGAACCATAGACATATAACATATTACACAAACAATTCTGAAAGACAATATCAACTATGACGTCATATTCTATTTAGAGGATTTTTATGTAGATCTCAACGTTTTGCATCTCATATTTATTTCCAAAGCCAAGTTCTGTAGTCTACATGTGTTATTAATTTTCTGTATATTAACTAGAAAAGTTACCCCGTTACGTAGGGGTCAAAAGTTTTCAATGTTGTTTTCGAATCGATAAATATGACAGATGTAGAAAGTGCAAGAATGAAAAGTCCGGGCTTTGCCTCGGACCGTTTTTTTTTCTTCATGTTTTTATAAAAAAATGTAAAAGTTTTGACTGCAATGATTAGAAGTGTCAAAACAGAAAAAGAATTACCAATTTTTTAGAAAGAGGATCCAAGTTGTCAAACCGTTAAAGTTTTGTGGCCAAACTTTAAATATTAAAAGGTTCCTAAAAAGTGTAAAAATATTGATTGCAAGGATTAAAAGTATCAAAATAAGTAAAAAATAAGGAGCAAAGTGCATGGACCAATTCTACCAAAAAAAATGATAAATTTACTATTCTTTTTGTTGAGAACTTTAATATATATATATATATATATATATATATATATATATATATATATATATATATATATATATATATATATATATATAATATTTAATTTTTTTAATTAAAATGTTAAACGGATTTGCGGGTCAACCCGTGTATTTTTTGGCGAACTCATATACGACCCGTTTAATAAACATGTTAGCAGGTTGAAAAACTCAACTCAAATCTATTTATCTTCGTGTCGGGTCACAGATCGTATCGAGAATTGTCATACCTACATTAAATATCATAAGATGGAAAGTTGTGAGAGTTTAAAATTAACGTGGTTCAAGATAGATGATTTATCTTGAACAATATGTATTTAGATAATTTTTTTATAGGATTTATAAATATAAAGATTAATAAATAATCTAATAACATAAATATAAATTTAATTTAATGACAAAACAGTTTTTTCATTTAATTATAAACTTATTATATATATATATATATATATATATATATATATATATATATATATATATATATATATATATATATATATATATATATATATATATATATATATATATTAAAAGAGAATGTTGGTGGATGTTGATAATTTGTACATTTTACTTTAGGAAATGATATTTTTCACCCTCTAACAGTATAACTTTTAAAATGTCATTTTGAAAGTCTAGATTTTTATCATCCATAATTCGCACCCCTCTACTTTGTAAGAGGACATTTTCTTTGCACCCTTCTACTTTGAAAAATGACTATTTACATATCTTTGACACCTGCTTTTACTATCGAAAATATACACCATTTACTTTATAAGATGATATTTTTCACTCCTTTATTTTTTAAAATGTCATTTTGACTCCTTCGATTTTGAACTTTGTAAATCATAAGTTTCACCATCTATTTTCTAAACTTTCGTATTTATCCCCAACATATACATAATCTGATTTTCCTTAATAACTGTTAACTTAAAAAAATCAATCTTTTATGTATATGTCAGTATAATTCGATGTATTCAACATTTCAATATAAATTTATAACTCCCATTCTATATTATTATTATTTTTTTAAAAACTTACTTTATTTTTTTATGTATGTATCGATGAATTCGAGTTTGTCTATTTTCACTTTACAAACAAAAACTATATTTTCATCTATTTTCAACATGTAGTAACTTACAGTTTAGTACTTCTTAAATCTTTACTGCACAACAATACCTGTTAACAGATAAAATCATAGTTATTATTATTTTGAAAACAAATAACACTTATATAATCATATTCATACTTGCATCTTTTATCAGCTACAAAAAACCTCAACTATTTAAATTAAAAGATATCTTTTTCCTGCTAATTATAAATTTATAATATACATTTCAAATAATAAATTATCTATCTTTTTTTTATCATAAATCTTACATTGCAAAAATATATGTAAAAGTTGTTATTTAAAATTGGAAAAGTGGAAACAAATTGAATGCTAAAAACAAATTTACAAACGCGTTTTCTCAATGAACTCCCACTGTTCAATCTCTCTCCATGTTCTCTCTTCTCTCTCCCCAAACACCAATTTTAGGGTTAGGGTTTTGAACAAAACCCGTTTTCCACACATCAGATCTTTAAACTAACCCCTTCTTACCAAGATTCAATTCTTTTCGAACCCTCAAAAGGGTTCAGTAATGGGTCGTCTTCACAAACCATTTAACTTCTTGTTAATTACCTTGTTGGTATTCACTACGTCTTACTTCCATGCTGTTTCTGGCGATGATTCCGACAAATCGGCGCTTCTGGAGTTCAAGGCTGCTGTTTCGGATCTTTCGGGAGTGCTAATGAGCTGGAATTTAAGCAGTTCGGATCACTGTTCGTGGATCGGAGTCAATTGCGGGTCAGATTCTAGGGTTGTGGCGATTAACATCACAGGTGGAGGTAACTCCGGAGACTTTACCTGTTCTAAATATAATCAGTTTCCTTTGTATGGATTTGGAATTGTAAAGAATTGTTTGGATCTTAACGCCAAATTAGTGGGCAATTTGTCATCCGCGATCTCTAAGCTTTCAGAACTCCGAATTTTATCACTTCCTTTCAACGATTTGAGTGGTGAAATCCCTTCTGAAATTTGGGGTATGGAGAAATTAGAAGTGATTGATCTTGAAGGGAATTCGATTCACGGCAACTTACAGTCTCACTTCACTGGTCTAAAAAGCCTCCGAGTTCTCAATTTGGGGTTTAATCAGATATCCGGCGAGATACCAGATTCAGTATCCCAATTCAAGAATTTACAGGTCCTGAATCTC